ACCACGTGTTCGCGGTGGCTGGATTCAGGGCTCCAAGCATGGGAGTCGGACCCGGCCTGGAACCCGTCAGCAGCCAAGAGGCTGCTGGAAGTTTTACCCCTCAGACATTTTGATTGTAAGATCCTGATGTTGTAAATATCCCTTTCAATACTGTTTTTGCTATATCTCATAGGCATTAATATTTTTGTTTTTATTGTCATTTCTTCAAAAAGTTTTTTCTTCTTTCTCTTATTAATCTCTTCAGTGCCATATGGATCATGCAGTAGCTTCATTTTCCTCAAGAAGGTTTTTTGATTTCCTTTTTCATCACACTAGCAACACATTGGTCATTCTGTAGCATGTTGTTTAACTTGATATTGCTGTAAATTTTGTTTTTCTCCCTGTAGAATTTTATTTTTCTCCCTGTTGTAGATTTTTGTTTTTTGGCTCTGTATTAAAATGGAGGTATAGTAGAAGTGCAACAGAGACTGGCATGTCCAGACATGAAGACATAGTGCAGTATGCATCTCTGCATCTAGATCAAGGATAGACTCCCAGGGCAACTGCTGAATATACAGACAGTGGGATGGACTCTCTGACATTGTCCATGCCTACAAGAGTGGAATGATGGACTTATGACTGTTCATGAAGGACTATCCATCACAATACTAAAGGGGAAATCTGTCGGGGTAGGGGATTTGGAAAGGGATAGGGGAAATCCAAGAGCATTTTGAATTGTATCATAATATAATAATTAAAAAAAAAAGGGGGGGGGGCCTTGTGAAGGAAGACAGACTTGAGGAGCAGAGAGGAAGGGGCGGGGCTCTTACCAGTGTGTGCTACAACCCAACCCGACTTGTTCTACCCACAGACCCAGTTCTCTCGGGCGTCAGTGGATGTCGAGACCTCATTCAGTCTATGCTGCACCCTCTCTGACTCTCATGAGCGCCAGTGGGTACTGGAGTCTAACCTAGTCTGGCACACCCTTAGACCCAGTCCACACCTATGCCAAGGGTTGCTACAGTTTATCTAGCCTAGTTTACTACCCTTATTCCAGCTGTCATGATCAAAAGTGGGGACCTCGGCCCAGCTAGGGTATCCCTTTAGCTCCCTGACCAGGCCTGCTCCAGCCAGAGATCTTGCATGTACCAATGGTTGCTCTGACCTATCTTGGTTCACCACCAGTCCCAATTTTTTTTAAGATTTATTTATGTTTATTGCAACGTCAGATATACATAGAGTAAGAGAGACAGAAAGGAAGATCTCCCGTCCAATGATTCACTCCCCAAGTGACTGCAACGGCCAGAACTGAGCCGATCTAAAGCCAGGAGCCAGGGGCCTTCTCCAGATCTCCCATGCGGGTACAGAGTCCCAAGGCCCTGGGCTATCCTTGACTGCCTTCCCAGGCCATAAGCAGATAGCTGGATGGGAAGTGGGACTGCTGGGATTAGAACTCGCATCCATATGGCATCCTGACACATTTAAGGAGAGGACTTTTAGCCACTAGGCTACCGCGGCAGGCCCAGTCCCAATTCTTGCTGGTGGGTGTTGCACTCTAGTCTTCTGGCTCAGCTTCTGACTCCAATATCCTGCTAATGCTGCAGCCTAAGAGGCAACCGGTGGTGGCTCAAGAACTTGGATCTCTGCCACCTAGCTGAGAAATCCTGTTTGTGTTCCCCACTGCGAGTTTCAGCCTGGGCTAGTTCTGACCGTTTCAGGCATTTGAGGAGTAAAGCAACAGATGCAAGGTCACTCCCTGTACCTGTCTCTTTCTGCCTTTCAAACAAACAAACAAACAAACAAATAAATGTGTGTGTGTGTGTGTGTGTGTGTGTAGATATAAACATATAGGGAGAGTGCGAAGGGCTTGGCATACTTCCTGGCACAAAAGTCCTCAGTAAGTGGCAACTGCCTCTGTCCCCTCAGTTGAATGTCACTGTCACTTCACCCTGAGTTTGTCACAGGCAGAATCTACTAGAAATGTCAACATCAGATTGATTTTTACCATAGTACTTTGATCATGCAAAATTTAGCCCTGGCATAGCAGATTAGGTGGGTGAAAGAGTATACTATTTTAAATAATACTTGAGAATCTTCAGTTCTTCAAAACCTGACCATTTTTTGTCTGTTTTCGTTTTTTCTCTTTGGATAGGCTCCTAGCCAGTTCCTCTCCCACCCCAACATTCATGTATATCACCTACAAATATGTAGCCAATGTGGCGTGTTTTTTGGGGGGGGTCTCAAATATTTGAAAGGCAAACAGAGTAGGGGAGGTGTACTACTGGTTCACTGCCAAAATGTGGGACAGCCAGAGCGTGCCCACGCTAATGCCACAGCCATCCAGGTCAGTCATATGGATGGCTCAGGTCCATGAACTTGGGCCATCTTATGTTGCCTTCCCAGGCCCATTGCCAGCTGTATGACACACACAGCTGCTCTCATAGGGGATGCTTGCATTGCAAACTGTGCCACACTGCCAGTCCTCTGTAATGTGGCCATTAGATTTGTGTAGTGTCCTATGTTTGTAATGTATATGTATGCATGATATAGTCTTCCAGTTATGTGCCTATCATTTGTTTCAACAGAAATTTGAGGGTATATCTACGTACAGATCTTATTCTCAGACTCAAGCATAAATATATGTGTGAGTCAGCACATCATTTAGGGGCTCTGTTCATCATGTTTATGCTGGAAGAATTCTAGCCGAAGATATTTTCCTATTACTTGATTTTAAAACATCTTTCAGTCTCCTCCTCTCCTTGGATTCCGAAGGCTCTGGTTCTAGCAGCACTTCCTCCTGAGTTCCCACACTTTGAGTTACTGTGAGCATGAAACACAGACTTCTCCCAGCAGCAGCGATGTGCACCATGCTCAGCTGTTGCCCTGGATGCACACATGGGGCTCAGTTTGCAGCCTCAAGGGTGACAGTCGTGACAGGCAGAGTACTGCCATGATGGAAGCAATTTATTGGGCGTGCTGCAGCCCATAAAGCAACTCCTTCCACCCTGAGTTAGCTGAGTCAATCCTTGGTCCTGCTCTGGGGCTCCCTACAAGACTAGGGACATGGGGAAGACTGCAAAACAGACCTCCAAAATATACCTGTAGGGGCCCCTAGCTCAGAACTGGTACAGATCAAGACCTCAGAGGAGCCAAGAATGGAACCCCATGGAGGGTTTTCCCACTCTGTGACTCCAGCTGCCAAAGACCACTGAGTGCTCCAATCCCCTGGGAGAAAGACACCACATTCCCACTAGTGGTTAGTCAGGTTGTGAGATGGAAAATAATAGGGAATTAAGAACAAGTTCTGTGGGTCTGCACCATGGTGTAATAGGCTCAATTTCTGCTTAGAGTGCCAGCATCCCATGTGAGTGCCAGTTGGTGTCCCAGTTGCTCTACTTCTGATCCAGCTCCCTGTTTATGGCCTGGGAATCCAGTGGGGAATGGCTCAAGTTATTGGGCTCCTGCACCAAAAAGGGAGACATAGAAGAAGCTCCTGGCTTTGGATCAACTGAGCTCTGGCCATTACGGTCATTTGGGGAGTGAACCAGCCAGTGGAAGATTTGTGGTGTGTGTGTGTCCTGCTTTCTGTAAAGTAAAAATTTTAAAAAGAGCTGGTTCCATTGTTTTTGAATTTGAGTAGTGCACCAGTGTTTCAAATACTTTATTCTTCATGAAAAACCAATTAAAGCTATATAGGTTTTGCCGTTGCTACTCCTTCCTTCTCTGGGTGAGGCTGGGTTGTCTGTCTTCCATATGCTTTTAGGAAGTTTTAATTAAGTATGTATTAAAGAATAAAGGTTTATTTTTGGAAAACTTTAAACCCTTGATACGGTTTTAATTAAATTTTGCATGGCCCCTGGGAAGGGCATTTAGCCTGTAAGCTTAGAAAAGGGATTAGGTCAGATTTGTTTTCTTTCCACAGTTAAGGGGAAGCCAGGATGTAATTTAGGTGTGGTTGAATAGTCAGATGTTCCCTCATTTTTCAAATGAGTTTTTTATGCTTCCTTTTAAAAAAAATTGTTATTTTATGATATAATTCCATAGGCTCTGGGATCTCCCCACTCCCCCTCCCCAAGTCCCCTTCCTTCCCTTATTAATTTCCCCTCTAGTCCATGGAGTTTTTTGCAAGCTGATAGCTGTAATAAGTTGGAGATTCTTGCCTTTGACTTTGAAGGGATCCAACATGTTAGAAATAGGCATAGTGCCCGCAGCCTGAGCTGGGCAAGGCTGCTGATTTACACTGATGATGACCATTTTAGAGGTTAAGAGAGAGGAAAAACAAAAAAAAGATGTAAAGTTAAAATCCTTGAAAATGTTAGATTCATTTGTGGGATACAGTTTTAGGCAAGGGATTGACATTTGGGTTGTTGAGAAAACAATCCTATGGATTTACACTTCCTTACCATACCTGGGTTCAATTCCCAACTGTGGCTCCTGGTGCCAGCTTCCTGCTAATGAAAAACCTGCCTCTCAGGTGTGAAACCTGGATCAGTCCTCTGGCTCCCAGCCCTGGCCATCACCAGCATTTGGGGAGTGAACTAGAAGAGGGTTCTTTCTGTGTTCCTCTTTCTCTCTCTTATACAAAAGTAAATAAAGCCAAGAAAAAAATAGTAAGTAAATATATAGGTATATATGAATAAAGCCTAAAAAGCCTAAAAAGTCACTAGTGACATTTGAAAAAGATTATAAACTATATTTGAACTTTTACTGACTCATAATGACAACAGTTAGTAGCTTGAAGAAATGCTGTAAGGACATCTCTTTGGTGCCATTAATATTTCCATTGTAAAATCTAACAGTGACATGAATGCAAAGCACTAGCTTTAGCTCTATACGTCTTTGACTTTTGAAATATGAAACACCATCATAAACTAAGGTAGGACAGAAATATTCTTGTGGTATAAATTGATATTTTGCAACTTTAATATGTTTCAAATGATTTATAAAATCTCAGTGGGAAAAAATAAGTCATTTAAGTGTATTAGGTATAACTTTGTTTTACTTGATTGTTCTCTTCCTAGGACTTACTAACCAGACACAAAGTGTTGGTGGCAGACTTCTTAGAACAAAATTATGACACAGTAAGTAGAAATAATTTTTAAGATTACTTCTTTCTGAATCTTGACTGAATTTGAACTGTGATACTGCACCAAGGTAGAGGAATCCACCACAGGGGGAGGGTACGGGAAGGGGTTGGGGGAATCCCAGTGTCTATGAAACAGTGTCACATAATGCAATGTAATCAATTTAAAAAAAAAAAAAGATTACTTCTTTCTGTCTTCTACTCCCCCATGACTTGGAGCTATGAGCAGTCACCCTTATGTATTATCCACAAGTGAAATCAACCATAGGTGTGGTTTATGTATTCACCTGGAATAGATCATTAGCCAAGATTTTATGGAAAATAGGAGATAGGAGTCCCAGGCGTTCTATTTGTATGTCTTCCTGTTGTGCTCTTGGAGCTCTAAGAAAGAACTAACATCTGCTGGCTCTGACCTTGAATTAAGAGTGCTCACATTGTTCTTCCGTGGCCTAGGGAACTCCGAATGGGAGAGCTCCTCACCCTCTTTACATGATAGGTAATTCATTCTACTTACTAGCCGTCCTCTAGCTGCTTTTACTAACAGTAAATCTGACCTGTCTGTTTGAGATTAAGTGGAAATGCCACTCTTCTAATGAAGCTGTCCCCAAGTAAACACGTTCATTCTGTCTCATATAACACATTGTATTATTGTGTGTCTGCATCTTTCTGGCTGGCGCTTCAGCTCCCACAGGCATGGACCTTATCTGTGCACAGGAGTTCAAGATACAGTACAGAGATTAAAAGTCTGCTTGCTTGCTTTGCTTCAAGCCTTGTTTCTGTGTGCTCACTAACTCCATGATCATAGGCAAATCACTGTGCTTGCTATACAATGACAGTAATACCGGTGAAGTGTCCCCTACCTGAAATGCTTTGCACAGGAAATGTTTTTGGTTTTAGATTTTTTTAGGATTTTGGAATATTTGTATATACATACTGAGAAATCTTTGGAGAGGACTCAAGTCTTAAAACAAAACTCATGTATATCTCCTGTGTAGATTCATGTATATGCCTTACATATATAGCCTGAGAGTAGTTTTATGTGATTTTTAGTGTACCTACATTCTGATTGCAGTTCATCACATGAAATCAAGTGTGTAATTTTCCACTGTTGACATCATGTCAGCACTTAATATCAGCATTTAGAGCAATTCAGATTTCAGATTTTTGGATTAGGAATGTTCAGTCTGTATTACTTACCTTGTAGGTTTGTGGTGGAAATTTGACAAGACGTAAAATTTTATTGCAGTCTCCATGGCAAATACTTAGTTTTTGTCATTGCTGTAGATACTTGTAATACCTAACTTGGTGCTATGTGTTCGGTAAGCTAAGTGAATACTGAAACACTAAATACTGAATCAACAGACCCATCTAAGAGCAGCTGCAGTTTTGCTAAATACATGAGCAATAAAAGCAGCATGAATGAAATACAACATGGCACAAATCCACAAGCAAAACCTCACAAGTTCTGTTCTGGTTGGTTTAGCTATCCTAGATAGCCCAGCACCATCTAGTTACAATGCAAGTTACAAATGCAAGCCACTTGAAAATACAAAAATAAATGAAATTAATTTCAGTAATATATGTTTAACCCAGCTTATTAAAATGTTCCTTTAATGTTTAATCAAACTGAGTTATTTTATGTCATTTTTGTGCTGCATCTTCAAGCTGTGCTGTGTATTTCACACTTACAGCACATCCCAATTGAAGTAGTCTCCTCTCATGTGCTCTGTAACCACCTACAGCCCCGCCGCCTGTCGCAGAGCACAGGTCCGGAGTGGGACTCTGAGGAGGGGGAATTGGTCATCCTCAGTTGTGACAGTGGCAACTACCCAAGTTATTTCTTGCTGGGATTCTAAGTATTTTATACCATGTCCATTAATGTCATTACTCTGTGTCCCTATTCCCAGCATAGTGTCTGGCACCTATCAACAGCAAAGCCATCTGCTCTCAAAAAGTTTACATGGTTGAGAGGGATACACACCCATGTGGGCCTGCAATTAGGGTAGGGAGGATTGAGGTATGGAGGAAGATGGGTAGGACCGGAGTTTCAGTTTTTGTTTTTTGTTTTTCCTGATTTTTCTCCTGTGTCTGCTGTGGGGGGAAGGGAGGAGGCTGCTCCTTGATTTCAAACTACATCAGCACCCTGGGATGGGCGATGGTCATGTGATGATGCCTTTGAGGCCCCAATGTGGGGAAGAATGTTCCAAGGGTGTTACTTGAGTGATTCTGATACTTCTGAAATTTTAAATGTTTATTTATGTGTTATGGTTAGTGGATTTTTGGAGTGAAAGCAACGAGTTATTTCATGAATATGGAAAACATGAAATAAAAAGCTAATTGTTTTGGTGCAAAATTTTCTGAAATTCATGCATTCTTTTTTAATAATACATATTTTCCATTAAACTTTTTGAGGATTTCTTGTATGTAGTATTTATGGTAGTAATGAAGAAATTAAGTAAAATATCCTATTTGCTGGTTGGAATAATTGGTAGAGAATTAAATATTATATAATTACCAGGTATACTTTTTGGTGATGAATTTATGCCTTCCCTATAGCTAGCCTTCACAGAGCTTGGGGCACATCATAGGCCTAAGACCAACTGATACTAATGATTACCTCTAAGATGTTCCTGAACCATTTCTAGGTGCTGGATATATTTGCAAACTCCTACCTATCAATAATAGATCCTTATATTTCTAAATCACAAAACTTTTTGCCTCTTATTCATAAATTGTTTACTGATATTCCTTTGCATATTAAAAAACAATATAATCATGGAATCCGAGGTAATAATCATATCCTAAAATGATCAACAAATATCTGCAATTATTGGGAATACTTTGAAGCAAATATATAACATGAGAAGATAACTGCTCTTGTCAGAGGCCTCTAGAAGCATCAATACTAAAGGAAAGTGACCAGATTTTTTTTAATTTAAGTAATGAACTGTTATGCTAGTTTGTTTATTCAGTAACTATGTGTGCTAGATGTAAGTTAAGGAAAGATTCATTAGCCATTATGATAAATGCAAATAGAAAACTAAAAAGCACTTGGCAAAGTCTGTTGTAGTAGCTCCTTGTCTTTGCATTAGAGTGAGTGTGTAGTGTGCAGTGACACATTTCTTTTAAGGATAATACACAAACAGTTCAGAGAACAGAAGCTAAGAGGAGAGGGGAGTCCATTTTTCATTATTCAAAACGATTTACTAACAGAACTCAAAATGATTCCAGTTTTCACTTCAGCTTCCACTTTTATTTATTTATTTATTTTTTAATGTTAAGTTTAATATTGGCCAAGATTGTGGTCCAAGGTAGTCTGTCTTTGTAGAGCTCCTCTTATCTGCCATATAAAATAACCTATGTAGGATTCCATGGAGGTTCATGTCCAACACATGGATTAGAAAGATTGAACAGCAGACATGCTGCCTGAGAATATCACACTATTGGGAGGACAACAAGCAGTGTCCACCTGCAAAGTAAACCTGTACGGGGAATTTTCTTTTCTTTTCTTTTTTTTTTTTTTGAATTTTTAAAAAAATTATATTTTGGCAATCTTTACATTGTTGATTAGGGTAAAAAGTTACAAGGGCTAAAGGGAATACTAAGGAGACAGCTTCCAGTTTTAAAACTAATATGTAGAAGAGAGAAGAAAGAGAGGCTTGTGTCCACTTGGCTTCTGCCTGCACAGTATCTTCCAAGCAGAAGTGCCAAGTGCCCCTTTAGGTGGTGCTCATCAGCCCCTTAATACACAGGCGCGAGCAAAGCAGCAGGCCGGGTGTGCAGAAGGGAGCAGGCAGTCCTAAACCTGCCTCTTTTCCACTCTCTCACATGTATTTTCTTTTCATTAGATTTTCGAAGACTATGAGAAATTGCTTCAGTCTGAGAATTACGTGACTAAGAGACAATCTTTAAAGGTAATATAAAATTTAAGTTCAAGTTCCTATAAGTTGATATCCTTTTAGTGGACTAGTAAATACAGAATAATTTAAGTATCCTGCTTTGAATAACTTTTGAAAAGTATGTTTTATGTTATGATTGTACTGTGAAAAATAGCTTAACTGTCCTGCTTCAGATACCTTTTGGAAATCACCATATAAATAATAAGTGCATGTTAGAATACTTGCTCTCAAAAAGAAAACCACACCTATGCTGACTTAAGTAGAACTATAATTCTCTCTTAGAGGATATTTCCTGGGGATGGAAAGAAATTACTCATAGAATGAAAGGAAGATAGGAATTATAGATTATAAGGAAGCATCCGGAGGCTCTTATATTTCAGTTTATCTTGAACCAGAATAGGCAGGAAGAAATGATCTTGTGTCTCAAATGTTTCTATGTAAACTAGAGTTGTACAAATAATTGATAAATTCTTTATATCTTTAGTTTGGGAGGAAAAACAACATTTTACTATGAAATAGTAAAAAGACTAGAAATGTAAGTAAGTTCTGTCTTATTGGTTATATCTCCCAGACTTGTAACATATTTTCCTAAAGAATATTTTACTAGCATTCATCGCCATGTCCTATTCTGAGTCAACCAGTGTTGGTCTGTAGGCTACTTACATGTTCTGTAGCTTCTCCATGATATGACCTGCTTCACTTATGTTTATTTTGAATTATAAAAAGTAATTACTTAGGAACTAAAAGAAAAATATTTTCAAAAAAACAGTTCAAAAAAACCAACATGAGAAGATTATATGGCCAAATATACAAAGCTTGATTTTTTCTTAAAAAAAAAAATTCTGAGACTGCACTAACACAGAAATCTACAGAGGTTAAACTATGGTGGTGCTATCAAGAATAAATTCAATTGTCTTTATTCCTAAATAGCTCAGTTGGATGAATTGTTGAGTGTAGGAAGATAATCAGTTTATTCAATCAACAGATGCCTACCTTCTCATACCGTAGACACAGGGGGACATCCTAGAACAGCTGTCGGGAAGTCTCCTTCTGTTGAGAAAGAACAGATGATAGACAAATATAGAATTGTTTGATTTTTTAAAGCACTATAACAAAAACTGAAGCAATGTAAAAGAGATAGCGATAACTAATTTTAGCAGGGGAATGTGTATGCGCATTTCTGTATATGAGATAGAAATTAGAGTGTCAACAAGACTCTAATAAAAACTGACTTTTAAGCAAAGGTGTTTTCAAAAACTAATTGTATTTGAAAGGCAGAGAGACAGAGTGCTTCTGTCTGCTGGTTTATTCCCAAATGTCTGCCACAGCCAGGGTTGACCAAGGCCAAAGCCAAGGGCCCTGAACTCCATCTGGATCTCCCACATCAGTGGCAGGGGTCCAACTAGTAGATGGGCCATCACCTACTAGCAGGTACACATTAGCAGGAAGATGAGTCAGAAGTAGATGAGCCCATACTCAAACCCAGGCCCTCTGTTAATGAGATGTGGGCATTATAACTGGGGACTTAACCACTGTACCACAAGCCTACCCCAGAGCAGTGGTGCTAATCAGTTAAAAATCAAAATGATTCTGAATAAGGAGTGTGCATATAAAAATAAACATTTGCTATTTGAAATCTTATGTCTTATAAAATGCCCATGGAGATACCAGGGAGTCCAGCCCCTTACCCTCTTGAGGCTGGTCTTCCCTTAGTACAAAGGTGTCTGGAGATAGCCATGGGGCCCAAGGCAGGAGGCCTAGCACATGATGGGTGTGGCCTGAGCTGAAGCTGCAGCTCTGCCCTCTGATCCCATCAGATAATCACAGGAGTGTTCCTGGGCAGACAGTAATATGAACCATTTAGGCACTTTGTAGGACACAGACAAGCTAAATGTAACAGTTATATTATTTTTGTTTGTCAGGATGAGGGACATGCATAGATTCATGCATTTGTTTTTGAACAGTGGATGAAGGCTTAAATCAGGCAGTGCCAAGTTTTTGTAAACCAGCTTGGCAATCAGCCATGACTTGTCTTTCCCTGTGTTACTGCCTGCTTGCTCCAGCTTTCCTGGTTAGTCAGCAGGCCAGTTTTCAGCCTGTCACTCAGCACTCCTGATGGAGTTTCCCCTTGGCGTAGAACCCACACAAAATGACCTGTCGAGGACAGAAGTCTGTGGTTGCTGCTGGAGCCAACTTGCGGGCAAAGGCAGGGCCTCCACGATGTGCTTTCCCGCAGGCGGAGAGCTTGGGAAGGGCTTTGAGATACGGCAGCAGCAATGCCTCCACAGCTCCAGGAGAGTAGAATTCCTCATGAAGGGCTTTAACCAGGACAGCCCGAAGCCTGCCCATGTTAGAACAAAGTCCGTGGAAGAGATGTGACGATGCTCTGAAGGCCCAGCATGTGGGAATGCACTCACGAATCATACAAATCTCTCCCTAATGGGAACCCATCAGATATGAGCCAGACTGGGAGGAAGAAAATGTCCTTGTACCCTTTTCAGCTATGGTCAGAACTATTTTCTGTGTGTGACAATTTCTGAATGAATCTTCAGGACCTTAAACTGAGTCACAGAGGTGAGAGTAACTTTTGTATATCCAAATGTCTCCTTCCGTGCCCTAGTTCTGCATTTCTTCCCCACTATCTCACACTCTCGTTGCATTTTCACCTATCTTGACCCAACTCAACCTGAAATCATGTCACTGCCTCTGAAAGGGCTCCCTTCTCCAGTGAAGTTGTTCTGTCTTTAAAAAACTTAAAACAAAAAAAGGTAAAAAGATAGATAAAATCTGTCAGAATGCAGAAACTACTGTAATGGCTTCTGAATAATTGGTTTCTTTTGAATGCTAGATTATAGGCAAAGATATTTCTAAAACAGTCTCGTATCACCTTACTGAAAATACAAACAGGTAGATGACTGTGAAATTGGGTTCCTATATAAACAAGTTCACTAAGTAGTTATTGTTTGCTCTTTTCTTTGGTAAGAAAACTTTTCTGGGGAGCTCTGCTGATGTGATTTGGGTATTTCCTTTTGGGGGAAATTCAATGTGGTTTTGATATAACCACATTTACATATGCAGAAGTCAGACTACTGCAATCCTAAATGACTTCCTATGTCACCCATTGTCTTAAGTCCTAGGCTGTTTCTGGTTGGAAAATAGGTGCCACTGCTGCTTTTTGTTAATCATATTTTAATATCTCCTGAACTATCTTAAGGCTCTGAGATTCCTAATATCAATACAAACTAATTGCCAAGGCCCGGCACTGTAGCCTAGTAGCTAAAGTCCTATCCTTGCATGTGCCGGGATTGCATCTGGGCACCAGTTTTTATCCTGGAGGACCCACTGCCCATCCAGCTCCCTGCTTGTGGCCGGAGAAAGCAGTCAAGGATGGCTCAAAGCCTGGGACCCTGCACCTGCATTGGAATCCTGGAACAGTGCTGGCTCCTGACTTCAGATCAGCTCAGCTCCAGTAATTGTGGCTACTTAGGGAGTGAACCAACAGTCAGAAGATCTTTCTGTCTGTCTTTCCTTCTCTCTGTAAATCTGACTTTCCAATAAAAATAAATAACTCTTTAAAAAATAATAATAAGCAGAAGAGCTAATTCCAGTTCTTCTCAAACTATCCAAAGCAACTACTTGCAAACTCCTTCTTCAAGGCCAGCATCATCTTAATTCCATAACCTAAAAAACAATACAACAGAGAACTATAGACCAACATCCCTGATGAAGATAGATGCAAAGACCTTCAACAAAATACTAGATAATCAAATCCAACAACACATCAGAAAGATCATACACTAAGACCAAATAAAATTTATCTGAGATATGCAGGGGTAGGTCAGTATACACAATCATCCTTTCTTTAAGCACTACGCTATCACACCAGGATAGCATGCCAAATCATCCTTTCTTTTTTTAAAGATTTATTTTTATTATTGGAAAGGCAGATATACAGAGAGGAGAGACAGAGAGGAAGATCTTCCCTCCGATAATTCACTCCCCAAGTGAACGCAATGGCCAATGCTATGCCGGATCCGAAGCCAGGAGCCTCTTCCGGGTCTCCCACGCGGGTGCAGGGTCCCAAAGCTTGGGCCGTTCTCGACTGCTTTCCCAGGCCACAGGCAGGGAGCTGGAAGGGAAGCGGGGCTGCCGGAATTAGAACCGGCGCCCATATGGTATCCCGGGCGTGCAAGGCGAGGACCTAACTACTGCGCCACCGCACCGGGCCCCAAATCATCCTTTCTTTATAAAAATCTTGACTTGGGTATGAAAGGCACATTCTTCAACACATTCAAGGTAATTTATGGAAAAAAAAATAACTAGCATAATAATGAGTGGAAGACCATTAGATGCATTTCCACTGAGATCCAGAACTAAGCAAAGATACCCACTCTCGTAACTCTTATTCAGTATACTCAGAGCCATTAAGCAAGACAAAGAAGTCAAAGGGATGCAAACTGGAAAGCAGAAGTCAGGCGCCATCCTGTTTGCAGATGACATGATTCTCTAGGAGAACCAAAAGACTCTACTAAGAGACCACTGGAATTCATAAGAGAGCTTGGCAATGTTGCAGGATATAAAAATCAATACACAAAATCAGAAGCCTTTGTATACACAAACAATTCTGTGGCTGAGAATGAATTTGAAAAATTAGTCACATTCATAATAATTGCAATTGTATTTACCTTGGAATATTTTAACCAAGGTGCGAAGGATTTCTATAATTAAAATTACAAAACACTAATGAAAAAGATAGAAGATGCCAAAACATGGATTAACCTTCCATTTTAATTTAGTGGTAGAACTAATATAATCAAAATATCCACAATACCAAAAGAAATTTATAGATTCAATGCCAACCCAATCGAAATACCTAAAAAATTCTTTTAAGATACAGAAAAAAAAAATGATAGTAAATTTCACATGGAAACACAAAAGACCCCAAATAGCTAAAGCAATCTTGAAACAACAAAAACAAAGCTGGCATCATAATACCAGACCTCAGGATGTACTGCAGGGCAGTTATATTCAAGACAGCCTGGTACTGGTACAAAAACAGACTTCAAGATCAATGGAATAGGAAAAAATCTCAAAAATGAACCTATACACCTACAGCCAGCTAATTCCTTTGACAAATGAACCAAAATTAATTCAGGGAAAAAGGATTCTTTCAACAAAGGATGCTGGGAAAAGTGAACCTATAGTGTGCAGAGTATGAGACAAGACCTCCTACCTTACACAAAAATCAAATCATAACGGATCAAGGATCTAAATCTTCAACCTGATACCATGAAACTACTAGAGGAAAACATTGGGGACCTCTGCAGGACACAAGCTTAGGCATGCTTCTTGGAAAAGGCTCCACAAGCACGGCAATTAAAGCAAAGAAACAAATGGGATTACATCAAGCTAGTAAGCTTCTGCAAAGGAAACTCAGCAATGTGAGGGAGGCAGCCAACAGAGTGGGAGAAAATATTTGTAAACTCTGCAACTGACAGAGGATTAATATACAGGATCTATAAAGAGCTCAAGAAATTGAACAAAACAAACCAGTCCAGTTAGGAAATGGCCGTACATTTTTCAAAGGATGAGGTACAAATGGCCAACAGACAAAAATGCTCAGCATAACTAGCCATCAGAAAATTGCAGCTAAAAACCACAATGAGGTTTCACCTCACCCCAGTTAGGAAGACTATCATAAAGAAATCAGAAAATAATAAATGCTGGTGTGGATGTGTGGGAAAAGGTACCCTAATCTCCTGTTGTTGGGAATATAAACTAGTAGAGCCAAATGGAAGACAGTGTGGAGATTACTCAAATATCTGAATAGGTCTACTAAAACCCACCATCCCACTCCTAGGCATTTAGCCAAACACAATGCAAACAGCATATGAGAGAATTATCTGTATCCCCTTGTTAAAGCAGCTCGATTCACAATAGCTATGATTAGAAATCAACTCAGATGCCCATCAATGATGACTGGATAAAGAAAATGTGCTTTATGTATACTACAAAATACTACTCAGCTGTAAAAAAAAAAAAAAATGAAATCTTGTCTTCTGTAAAAACAAATGGATGCAACTAGAAACCATTATGCTTAGTGAAAGGAGTCAATTTTAAAAAGACAAATATCCTATGTTTTCTCTCCTGATCTGTAATAATATGCAGGGTATAAAAAAATGTAATCTACATGATTGACATTCTGGGATTTAATTATTGTTCACAGCCTTTATATATACTCCTAAGGAATAGGTTTTTTTCTTCTTACTACAGGCTGTTGTCTTTTACCTAGTGGAGTGTTGAGCCTGTGATTGTGAAGTGAAATAAAAAATATGCCACTGTAAATATTAGGCATAAAGAAATAAGGAAGGAGGGAGGGTGGAGCATGTGGGTGGGAGAGAGGGTAAAAATAAGTGTAACTACACTCCAAAATCCATATCATGAAATGCAAAAAGAAGAAGATAGCACTGTCCTCTCCTGTTACCATGGAGTTTAGCTGAAGCTTTTCCTATGTGTTTGTCAAAAAGATAGCAGCAGGGATTGTTTTATTCAGGTAAAGGCAAATTGCTGTAATAAATGGCTGCCTCGGCTGCCAGCTGTACTGATGGTGCACTCTGAAGTCACACACACAAAGGGTGGTGTGAGTCCCTTTCCCAGGCCAGCTGACCCTTCACCCCTGAGTCCTGCGTGTGATGGATGGTAGCCTCTTGGCTGTATGAACAGGGTAGAATTTTACATCTTCACAATCTCTACAGCACTGTGTTCTGAATATGCTTCTTGGATAAAAATAAAAGACCATGCTTGCTTTGCTTCTTTCTGCCTTTTGTGAAGTGCTCTCTTTGTAGAAAACTGATTCCCCAGCAGCCTCCACACACCTCAAGACAGAAGGGAGGGCACCTGGGCAAAGGGACAGGCAGAGGAGAGTTCACTGGGGAGTCAGGGAGGGGCTCTCAGACACAGTGTCTGAGTCCATCATGGAAGGGTGGCAACTGTGTGACTAGAAAGACAGGAGACTAGAACGTTCCTTCTAAACTTGAGCCAAAGGAGTTAAGCCCACAGGCAAGAGGGTGAGGACACCTGAGCTAGGGATCCAGGGAAAGGAAGCAGTGGAAATCACTCCCCTTCCTAAGGACTTTGAAGGTTAGCCTAAGGAATCAAACTTTTCCCTTAATTCCATGGGTACCCATGTAGGGGACCTAGCTGACACTTCTAGCTTCAGGCCGACCCAACCCCAGCTAGTCTTTGTAGCTTTCTTGGGATTGAATCAACAGATAAGATCTCTGTCTCGCCAACCCCACTTCTCTGTAATTGTTCCTTTCAAATAAATGAAAATGAAATTTTAAAAAAACAATAGACAAAATGACGGCCCCTAATCTGATGTACTTTCTGCCCACATCCATGGTTCCTTTTACCACTTATTCAATGTGTGACCATCCTGAGGCTCCCAGAAGGAGTGCAGTAAACAAATAGGAAACTAAGCCCGTCTTAAATGTGAAGATGTGTTACAGTGTGCCTCAGCTTCCCTCTAGAGCTTTAGAAACTACCACCAGTGTCTGGAAAACCAGTGTTTCTGAAGTAGGGAAAAAAATGCATGGGGGCATGCTGCAGGAATGCTTATTCATTTTATTAATGGAATTGGTACTGGACAGCTGGGGGCCCTATGTGCACCCTCACAGCCTCAGAAGTTGTCCTTGGCTTCAGAGAAAGAAACCGGTTTTTGAGCCACAATGTGAAAGCAAGAGGATTTTTTTTTTAATCACAGAAGGTGTTAAAGATGGGGTGTTGCAGTATATAGCACAGTGAACCATTGCCTGCAAAGCAGGCATCCCACATGAGCACTAGTTCAAGTCCTGGCTGCTGATTTCAATCCAGCTCCTTGCTGATGCACATGTGAAAGCTGTAGGCAATGGCCAAGTGCTTGGGTATCTCCCACCCACTTGGGAGACCCAGACTGGCCTGACCCAACCCTAAACCAACAGATCTCTATCACTCTGTAAAAAAAAAAGAGCCTTAAAAAGTAACAAAGAGCACATAACTCCACAGACAGAGCACACCCACATGTTGTTTTAGCCCCTCCTTGTAGGATTTACTGAATATATGTTAAGATCTAAATGGAATGGTCATCTTAGTTTTGGGGAAAGAGTAGAAACTTCTAATAATTGGAGATCCACTCCAGGCTCCTGGCTTCAGATCGGTTTAAGTCCAGCCATTGAGGCCACTTAGCGAGTGAACTAGTGATTGGAAGATCTCTCCTTCTCTCTCTGTAAATCTGCCTTTCAAATAAAAAAAATATTTTTAAAAAAGAATAACAAATTTCTGGCTATTTGTTAGTGAACTTTACTGACATTAGCAAACTGTGAAAAGTTTGAAATAACTCCTGTTTTTATGCTTGTTCTTTAAGTTACATTTCACTCTCTCTCTTTTTTTTTTAATGTCATCATTCTTACATGTGGATTTTGTCAGAAAAAGTGATAGATGTTTTGAATAAGGTGACTGTCAGGTGGTAGCCTTGATTTTGTCTTTTCATGCAGCTGCTAGGTGAGCTCATCCTGGACCGCCACAACTTCACCATCATGACCAAGTACATCAGCAAGCCGGAGAACCTGAAGCTCATGATGAACCTGCTGCGGGACAAAAGCCCCAACATCCAGTTTGAAGCCTTTCATGTCTTCAAGGTAAAAGTTAAACCATGAAAATATTAGGGTAGGCATTTTTTGTTTGTTTGTTTTAGTCTGTTTTTGTGTTTGTTTTGCATTTTGGTAAATCAAACAAGGTTTATTTATCCAAAGCTTTTAGAATGAGTCCATCCACTATGGATAAGTTTTCAGGTCACCCAAGAAAACTTTTAAAAAACAACAGAGCTACAGGACAGTGGGGCAGAGGGGAGACCCTCCAGCTGCTGTTTTACTCCCCAATCAGCTACAATGGCCAGGGCTGAGCCAGGACAAAGCCTCAGCCTGGAACTCCAGGACTCCATCCAGATCTCGCACGTGGGTAGCAGGAGCCATTTTCCATTGCTTTCCTGTGTGCAATATAAGGGAGCTGATTAGGAAGTAGAAAAGCCAGGATTCAAACTGGCACCCAAGTGGGATGTTGACCTCATAGGTGGTCAACCTGCTGTGTCAGAAAGCCAAACCTGCATCCTCATTCTTTAGGTACATCAATGTGAATGCATGGGGTTTGCATCTACTTCCAAACCACGGACTCCTGCTTTTCCCTTTCCCTGTGTACTACAGAGAAAAGTGAATAGACAGTTTTTCTAGTAGGGTAATTTAAACAACATGTTATTTTAATGAATAACCTTTCGCTTGTAAAAAAAAAAAAAAAAAGAAAGAAAAAGATGCTAACCAATCCACTTCTCTAAATATTTTTTCCCACTAGAAAATAAGTGATCCTATTTCCCAGAAGTTAGTAAAATAACCAGGAACTGAGCTAGACCCTGAATTCTCTGAATGTTTTGCTTTTATCAAGCGCTTTCTTTGAATCATACATGAAACTCTGAAGAAACACCCATGTACTCCTTAACAGCATAGAAAGACTGATTATAATACATTTTATTTTAATAGAAAAATATCTGCAAGGCATAGTTTTTCTTTAATCAAATGATTGGGTTTATTCGAACTTGCTTAACTAGTCCTGTGTCATTTAGATTATTTCCATTTTTTGATAATGTAAGTAATTTTGCAATGCTTATTTATAAAATCTAGAATTTTCTATATGTAGGATTATCATCTTATATATCTAGAGTAGAATTTTTAAAGATTCAATTTTTTTTTAAAGGCAAAGGTACAGAGAGAAGGAGAGAGGAAGATCTTCCATATGCTGGTTCATCTTCCAAACTGGCTGCAACAGCCAGAGCTGAGCTGATCTGAAGCCAGGAGCCAGGAACTTCTTCTGGGCCTCCCATATGGATGCAAGGGCCCAAGAACTTGGGCCACACTCTGCCATTTCCCAGGCCACAAGCAGGGAGCTTGCTGGGAAATGGTGCATCCAGGAGTTGAACCCGCATCCATATTGGATGCCAACATACAGAGTTAGCCTAATACACTGCACCAGGCCCTACAGTAGAATTAAAGGTTAAGAGAGCTCCAGAATTTTTTTTGTCTTTATAATATGTATTTATAATATAAAATTATATATTTTAGAATACTTATATAATATACACTTTGTAATTAAATATTAGAATTTTTAAATCCATAAATGGGAGACATGGCAATTTATAAATTCCATTCTATTCAAAAATCTTAACAGAATCCACTCTACTGGATATTAACTTGAGATGTTCCTGCCTCTCAGAAACATGTTATTAAGTGGAATAAATATATGTTTATATATATATATATGTATATATAACATGCCATTTAGGGTCTGACACAATAGCTCAACTGGCTAATCCTCTGCTTTGAAATGCTGGCATCCTATATAAGGACCATTTTGTGTCCCAGCTGCTCCTTTTCCCATTAACCTCTCTGCATATGGCCTGGAGAAGCAACAGAGGAAGACCCAAAATTTGGGACCCTATATCCACATGGGAGGCCGGAAGGAGGCTTCTGGCTTCAAATCAGCGCATTTCCAGCCATTGTGGCCATCTGGAGAATGAACCAGAAGATGGAAGATCTTTCTATGTCTCCTTTTTTAAATCTGCCTTTCCAATGAAAATAAATAAATCTTTATTTTTTAAAATGCCATTTATTTAAGATCAGAAAGCTTGAAAAACAATAGCAAGTATGGATTCATTCACATGCGGTTATCACCCAAGAGTGTTAGGGCACACTGCTGCCGAGGTCAGGCAGCAGGGAAGATGGAGGAGATCATGGATAAGTGTGGAATGCCCTTTAGAAGTATCTGCAGTGTTTGATTTTATTTAAAAAGTTTGCAGGCAGATATGACAAGATGTTAGATCCTGTTAAAGCTAATGGTGGAATATGATACCTAATAGGCCATTTATTTCCTGTAACCCTCATGCTGTTACAGCTGTTAAAGAAAAAACAGACAAACTGAGGGCAGGTGTTTGGACTTGTGGGTAAGAAGGCAGTCAGCGCACCCGTATCTCAGCTTCCAGCTCCTGAGTCTGGCTTCTTGTGAACACAGACCCTAGGAGGCAGAAGGTGATGGGTCGGGTGTTGATCTAGCTCCTGGCTTCAGCCTGCCCAGCTTTGGCTGTTACAGGCACCTGGGGTGAACTAGAAGATGGGAGCTCTCTCTGTCAAATAAAATAATGGTTTTTTTATATAAGATTTTTTATTTTTATTGGAAAGGCAGATATAGAGAGAGGAGGAGAGACAGAGAGGAAGATCTTCCATCCGATGATTCACTCTCCAAGCGGCTGCAACAGCTGGAACTGAGCCAATTCGAAGCCAGGAACCAGGAGCTTTTTCCGGGTCTCCCACACGAGTGCAGGGTCCCAAGGCTTTGGGCCATCCTTGACTGCTTTCCCAGGGCACAAGTAGGAAGCTGGATGGGAAGTGAGACTGCCGGGATTAGAACTGGCACCCATATGGGATCCCAGTGCATTCAAGGCGAGGACTTTAACCACTACGCTTCCACGCTGGGCCCTAAAATAATGTTTTGAAGTGAAACACAGTGCTATCACATTCAGAAAAGCCTCCATGTACAACTGCAGGTCCTCAAAGCCCCTTGCAATCCTAGGGATGGTAGAGATTCCATGCCCGTCACTCAGCTGCCCCAGAATGTGAAATCTGCTGCCTAGGTGAGAACAGGCTCCATATAATTTAGTTCAAAAAAGCAGTGTTATAGCAGGATTCAGTGGGTAGCAAGACAGAAATAGCCAACTCTTGTCCTCTGGGAAGATCAGAATTTGGCTAACCATTGGTCAGAGCAGGTACATTTAAAAATAGTCGGCCACTTGTTTACTTGTAGGTACATAATTGGACCTATCCCCTCCCCTAAGTTTATTCCTCTTGTTGAAGTAGAAGATTGTTTACTTGCCAAAAATAATATTTTGTTGTTTAGAAAAATTACCAGCTGAGTCCTGGAAGTCTTTCCCCCCGCCCGCCCCAATTATTTTGGGTTTTTTTCCCCAAAGCGCCTTTCACAAGGTACAGAAAATGTGGAACACAGCATTGGTCTTGCCAGGTTAAGGGTGGCTAAGTTTCATTGGCTTGCTTACAAGTTCAAGGACTCAGGTGAGATGCCACCCCTACTCCCGAGTACTGACCAGCAGCAGATGGCATGGTGAGCACTTCCTGGGTGACAACCCAGAGGATGGGGGTCTGTTCTGGCTGAGATTTTTCACTTGCAAAATGAAGGGTTAAGTGCAGTCAGAAGTCTAGTTCTCAAGGGGCTTGTGTCTGCGAGGCTCTCCCAGAGCTGAATTCAGGATCCACTTGTGTGTTCCTCTCTGTTTCCTTTCCCTTTGACTATTAACCTCCTCAATAACTAAGGTCATGCCTCCTCCTTCCCTGGCACCAGACTGGGTTAAAGAGCAGCCTGTGTCATTTGGCTCGTCTCAGAGCTGTTGGAACTTGGGCATGAGCATTGCCAGACACGGCCCCGAGTGTCCCACTCCATCACTCAGATTGCAGCATTTGGCGCAGCAGCCATTTCCACGAAAATAGGAAGCTCTGTTCAAATGATCCTAAAACACTAGAGCCAGCTTGACAGTTCAGCTGAAAACAAATACATAGAACAAGATAAATGTCCTGAGAATAATATCTATGTAGTCTGAGGAAAGAACACAGAGTTACAGATGAATTTACGAAACTCACCAAGAATTCCTTACTTCCTTAGGGATTACTGTGCTGACAAGCTGTGCTCATAGTATACCCAAGGATGAAGGCTTGCAGACCAACTGAACCCAAAAATTGGGCAAAACCAAAGCTCAACTTTCTTACAAGTAGTAATGATGTTTCAACTGCCAACTTAATTTTGTCAATTCATTTTCATAAATTTTACTTACTGAAGAAGCAAAAAAAACAGAAAAAGACAGATGTCACATGCTGGCTTACTCTTCAAAAATGCCTATATGCCCAGGGCTGGTCCCAGGCTAAAACAAGATCCAGGAACTCCATCCTGGTCTCCCACATGGGTGACAGGAACCCCTCCCCCCGCCCCCCCAGCTACCTGGGCCATCAGCTGTTGTCTCCCAGGGATTATATCAGCAGTGAGCTGGAATCAGGAGTAGAGCCAGAACTGCAATCCAGGCACTGTTATATGGGATGCAGGCCATCTTTTTTTTTTTTTTTCTTTAATTGGAAAGGCAGATTTTATACAGACAGAAAGATCTTCCATCTGCTGGTTCACTCCCTAAACAACTACAACAGCCAGAACTGAGCCCATCCAAAGCAAGGGGCCAGGAGCTTTTCCCAGATCTCCTTTGTGGGTACTGGATCCCAACGCTTTGGGTCTTCCTCTGCTGCTTTCCAAGGCCATAAGCAGGAAACTGGATGGGAAGTGGGGCAGCCAGGTCACAAATGGGTGCTCATATGGGATGCTGGTGCTTAAAAGACAGGGATTAACCAGTTGAGCCATCATGCCAGCCCCTGGATGCAGGCATCTTAACAGGCAGCTTAAGCACTGGTTCAAACCTGGCTACTTTTAACTAGCATAGAATGCTGAATTTTTTAATATCCTTATTTGATCTCTTTTTTGGGCATTTTGTGCTTTTTTAGTAAAGAGGCAAAGTAGAAAAAAGGAAAGCCATAATTCAAGCTTC